CTCCTCCTCCTCCTCCTCCTCCTCCCTCCCTCACTGCAGCCATCCTCATCGCCCACCTGAAGCTCTCCACCTCTGAGCTGCGTGAGGTTCTGATGAACATGACCACGGAGCGTCTGGAGCCCGCTCACATCAAGCAGCTGCTGCTGTACGCCCCCAACGAAGAGGAGGTCAAGCAGTACGAGCAGTTCGAGCAGGACCCCGCCAAACTCAGCGAGCCAGACCAGTTCATCTTCCAGGTACAAATAACTCTAACAATCACAAGACTAAAGAAAACCCTGAGAAAAAATATCTTCAATGTTTAAAAAGCTCTTTATTTTTCACTTTAGTCACATCCGTCACAATTTGATATATCATTTGATTACTGACAATTTTTCTTCGCAGCATCTCAGAAAAGGGTCCTTGTTTTGAGTTTGATTACCTCTTTTTATATTTAATGGACGCTGATAGAGCCTAAGGCCTCGTTTACACGGAGACGGAACGGGTTGTATCCGCTACAGTTCTCTATCGTATGGACGGTTCGTTCACACGAGGCCGGAACGGAACCGCGGAAACGGAGCCCTCAAACGATAACGGGTCCCAAGGTGGGTCGATCTGCGGACAGAACGCTCTGTGGGGCGAAACGGCTCCGTGTGTACGCCATAGCCCCGCCTCTCCCCACCTCTCCTGCTCACCCCCGTGTCACCCGCGTCATTGCTGATGTGTTTCGCCAACAACAACAACAGTGTTTCGAGTGTTTCGAGCCAGGTCCCCGGTATCTCGCAGGACAGTGCACCCAGCAGGAGCCTCCAGCAGACCCCCCCCGCACGGTTCCCTCGTCCCTTGGAAGAGGCGGAGAGGTGGGTGTTTTTCATCTGCTGGTGGACTTTTCAACGCTGGCTCAGAGTTAGTGGCAGGGGGGGCGGTGCACCTGCCTTTTACAGCAGGAGCACACGCTTGCCTCTCGGGGAGGGAGAAAAAGAGAAACAGAGGCTGCCGAAACAGCCAGAGCCCCGCCTCTCCCCACCTCTGCTGCTCACTGCTGTAGCATGGTCAGCTCTACTGCTACTGACCATGCTACAGATGTTAGTGCAACATCTACAGCTCCTCTACCACAACCATCAGCAACAAGTGGACATGGAGAACTACATGAACAACATGTTGCTAAATCCACCGTGGAGAATAAACAGTAGGGCAACCATGGCAACCATGCTCGGGGGTCTTCTTCGCTGCTTTTGGTGTATTTTGTGGCGGAAGTACAGCGCCACTTACAGGCCCGGCATATGTACTACAGCGTCTCCAGCGGGTCGAGCGGTCTCGTGTGGACGGACATGTTTATTGAGCCGATACCGTGTGGACGGAAGACTTTTTTGATATCGAATTCGGTTCGTTCTCCGTTTCGTCTCCGTGTAAATGGAGCCTAAGGAGCCTTGTAATTAGCTGCTCTTAAATTACTGTTTGCTCAAGGATCTCTTATGTTTGCAGAGATTAACAATGCCTAAATAAACACATTTAAAGGGGCTCATTGTCAGGTTCATATCAGTATGTAGTGTCTCTACATGTCTCCATGCTTTAATGTTCAAAAAGCTCTTTATTGTTCTCATACTGCCTGTGCTGCAGCTCCTCTTTTCACCCTCTGTCTGAAACCAGAGCCCAGTCTGCTCTGATTGGTTAGCTGATTGGTCTGTTGTGATCGGCCAACCTCTTAGAGAAGTCCCTTCCCTTAGCCTATCACGTACAATGTGTTGGAGCGCTAGCCATTATGACTTGAACAAAGGAGTCCAATGGAGACTGCTTGAAATGTTGTCAGATTTTCTGTTGCAATTTGTGTGATGTTTTCAACTTTTTTTCTCACAAGTTGCCCGTACAATTACAAGAAAAGATCCTGTGAACCTGACACACTTTTTTTTTCACCTTCAACATTTTTATTTTTTTTATTTTTAAGAAACCAAGAAAGATATTCATGTCCTTAAGTCATGAACACAGAAAAGAACATATTTTAGATCAAACGTTTTCGTCGTTTTTCTCAGTTTTTGCATGAAAAACACTCAATTCAAGTTAGAAAAAGAAATATGAAATGAACTAAGTCAAGTTTGTTCTTCAGATGCTGACGGTTCCCGAGTATAAAACCCGTCTGCGGAGCCTCCACTTCAAGACCACCCTGCAGGAGAGGACGGAGGAGATGAAGGTCGCGTACGATTACATCTACAAGGCTTCAGTGGAGCTGAAGAGCAGCAAGAAGCTCGCCAAAATCCTGGAGGTAAACACCCAGAGAAAGGAGAGGAAAGTTTAGCTTATTATTGACCTCAAAAGCAATCATTAAGTGTTTCTACTTTCCACAGTTTGTACTTGCAATGGGGAATTACCTGAACAATGGGCAGCCCAAGAGCCACCGGACGACCAGCTTTAAGATCAATTTCCTCACTGAGGTAGGGGAAAAACTCCTACGCTAAAACCACAATAGACCTTCACTCTTAGCATTCATTCTTTCCTCATTTATTTCAGCTTAGCACAACCAAAACAGTAGACGGGAAATCCACCTTCCTCCACATTCTGGCCAAGTCTCTGTGCCAACACTTCCCCGAGCTGCTCAACTTCTCCAGAGACCTCACAACGGTGCCTCTGGCCGCCAAGGGTACGATGATGTTTCAGCCTCAGGAATATCACTTAGTAGCAGAATGCAGTCATTTTGCGAATATGAAACACTTTATAAGCATCTAATGCAAGTTGATTCTCTTTACCTGCACCTGTTTTACAATATTTAAACAATGTACAGTTGCTTAAAGAGGACATATAATAAAAATGTTCAGGTGTATATCAGTATGTAGTGTCTCTACTGGGACATGTCTCCATGCTTTAATGTTTTTTTCACATACTGCCTGTGCTGCAGCACCTCTTTTCACCCTCTGTCTGAAACCAGAGCCCAGTCTGCTCTGATTGGTTAGCTGGCCGGCTCTGTTGTGATTGGTCAACCTCTAAGTGATGTCCCGCCCCTTAGCCTATCACGTACAATGTGTTGAAGCGCTAGCCAATAGAAGCACAAGTGTTACATAGTGATGTCACTACAGTTTGGATGTAAACAAAGGAGTCCAATTGAGTTGATTTACACTCACAAAAACCTAAACAAAGCACTACTGTACATGAAAGGGAAAACCCAAAAAAGGATAACAGGGTCCCTTTAAACTTTTTTTGTAACTAACCTCCATATATTTGAATATGCCTTCAGTGAACCAGAGGGCCATCACTGCAGAGCTGACTGACCTTCACTCCACCATCCTGGACATCAGGAAGGCGTGTCTGAAGATCCCGCCCACCTCCGAGGACCACTTCGCCTCCGTCATGAGCGTACGCCAAAAACTTTAAATATATGATACACACACATCAGACATCTAAGCATTACAAATATATGTGTTCATGGAAGCTACTGATTACTGACAGTTTATGTAATTAAAGGATCATTTTTGATATTTTGGGAAATGTACTTATTTGCAATAAGATGAAATGTTCAACCCCCCTCTCTCTGTATAGATAACAGTTTAGCTTAGCTTAGCATTAGGACTCGAAACGTGGCTAAATAGCTAGCCTGGCTTTGTCCGGAATCAAGAAAAAGTAACTATTAGCACACTTTATATCTTGTTTGTTTAATTTGTGTGTAACAACAACTTTAGTCTAGTACACAAAACCCATAACAAATCTAATTTGACATTTAACTTTCACAAATTAATCATACAAGATATAACATGTCTTGTCTTTGTGCTAAGCTAGCTGTCTCAAGCTTTATTAAATCTCTAACAAATCAGATGGTAACGCAGGCTGTCTGTTATAATTGTTTTGGACTGCAAAGCTGAGAATAAATCAGTGGTTTCTCAAACTTTAGAAAGGTCATTCAGAGCCGCAAGAGGACTTTTTAAAGTTTTACTGGCTGACAATTCCTCATGACAAGTTAGCTGACTTTGATGTGTTGAGTGTCGTGAATCTTGAATGTGTGACCTTGTTGTTCCCACAGAGCTTCCTGGAGAACAGCCACCCTGCGATCCAGTCTCTGGAGTCCCTGCAGACCCTAGCCATGGAGGAGTTCTCCAAAGTGGCCTCGTTCTTCGGAGAGGACAGCAAGTCCGCCAACACCGAGTCCTTCTTCGCCATCTTCGCAGAGTTCATCGGCAAGTTTGAGGTAAGCTCACCACAAAAACTCGACATCTTGCCAAGTATATTTGTCTAACATCTAGTCAGAATATGTCTCTACACCTGATATAAGACATAACGTCAGAAGTAACACTGCAGTGAGATATCGGGTCTTGTTGTTAGACAATGCATCATCTTGTTAAGTCAAAAAATCTTATTTTGAGTCGTATCTCAGATGAAACACATATTTTCTTTACATAATTATTAGAAAATCACCAGCTAACATCAGAAAACAGAAAACTTATGAGCATTTGCGGCTTATATTGTAACAACATCTCCTGATACTGGTCAAATATAGTTCAAAATGAGTTCTCACAGCTAATTACAAGATCAGATTTATCTAAATATCCCTTCTCATTTCAATAAATCTTACCAAGCTAATTTTTACTTACTTTTGTACTTATTTCAAGTGAAAACACCTTGTTTTCCAACTTGTTTTTGTAGCGGCATATTTTCCAGTGCTCAGGTTTTAATTATTACAATTTAATCTGTTTTAGTATCGTTTACTTGTGTCTTATGTATCTTTACAATATATATATGTAGTGTTGGTTGCTGCAGCCCATTGTGCTTCCACCTGGAATAAACTACGCTATATAATTAAGTTTTGCTTGCTGTTTTCCTCAGCTGTGTCGATAGAAGCAGCTAGAAATAATGTGGCTTATTCCTGCAGGTGAGCCGTTCATATTGTGATAAATGCATAATCAAAACCTCCAGAACAATTAGGGATCCAGCTGACAGCCGCCTGCAGCTACCAAGTCATTACTCTGCAAAGTGCTGCCGTCTGTGGAATACATCTGCTCCAAGTCTGAGAATAACACGGTAAAAGTGAAATAAAATCACATGAGATTTTGTTTTGTTTTGTTTTGCAGAGAGCTCTCAGTGAGACCAAGACTCCAGAAAACCCCAGAAGCCCCAGACTGTCCTCCCCTCTGGTCTGGTAGAAGAAAAGAAAAAAGAGGATTATGGTCAGATGTCGGCTTCATTTTCACTCTGCTCTCCAACAACCAAAGTGCCAAGATCACACACAGAGACACTCACAGCGACGGGAACAGAGAGCGCGTCATCTATAGCAAACAGAAGGGAAATACTGTAATCTAACTGTAGAAAATCACAGATAATGAGCGCCCTGTGTGCATCATTACTGTTATTTCAGGTGTGAACAGGAAGTCACCGCACACTAGTCTTTACTTTATTTACTTTTTAAAGCAGGTAGTCAAATAATTAAACCCTCTATTAGCTCCGGTGCATCTCGATGAAAGAACTGGATATTTAGGTTACTAGCGATGTTTAATACCTGACTATATAAAAGTTTATATTTTCTATCAGATCATATTTGAAAATTGTTAAAGAGTAAGCGTAGATGTAGATGGATGAATCTAGAAGCAGGTGTAGTTTAGGTAGCGTGTACAGAGCCAGAGAGTTCATACAGCGGTGCGTTCACTGCCTCACACACAGCATGAGTTCATTACTAATGGTAAAAATCTATGTTTTATTCCAGCATTATGTATCCACATTACTGATTTAGAGTTACATATGTTACAGTATCATCCTATCATACTGTGAGTTTAAAGGGCATCTACTGTATCATAGGAATTGTAATACAATAAAAAGATATAGGGAGATTAAGTTAAATTCATCCACACCCACTGGTTCAGTTAATAATCTCTATGGAAGCAAAACAACGCCCTAACGTTTTTTTTAAAAATCAAACCCCCCCCCCCCCGAGGTAACTTTGGGATTTTAGCCTTTGCAGACTATTTACATGCACCAATAACACACTACAGGAAAGGGAAAATACCCCCAAAACGGGTTTAAACTGCAGCAACTCATAGGCATTGTGATTGATTGCCTGCAAGGACTCTAGATTAATCCGATAGCACGACCGGGTACGTTTTTTAAAATGTACTTTTTCACATTAATAATAACATATGTTTTTGTTGAGGGCCTTAGTTGGATAAAATAGAAAACAGATAACATTTTGGAACTCTCTCTGCAGGGAACTTTGGGATGTTTGCCTTTGCAGACCATTTACATGCACCAACATCTATAACACACTACAGGAAAGAGAAAATACATTAAAGGGCCCCTTTAAAAACGCAGCTACTCATTTGCATTGCGATTTTTCTGCTCGCGAAGGACTTCAAGTTGAATGAAATAACATATATTTATTCCTGAAACATCCTCAGACCAGCTTTCACAGAGAGGCGACACTGAACACATCAGCATGTGGAGAAACCTGGCTCACAAATCCTCTGTTTGGCAAAGCGTGGGTCTCTGGGTTTAAATGAGAGCCGAGTGCTTCAGGCAGAGACTCCTCAGTGCGGTAAACACAGTGTCTGATGAATGAAACGCATGTGGAGGAAAATCTAAACGTCCTCCTGTAAATGGTTCCTTCCTGATTCTTGGTCGTCATGGTGACTCCTCTACAGTACAGTGTGTTGTATTTATGTCGATGAAATATTGTTGAGATTGTAGATTTACAGTTTTTGCTATGCACTGCTCATCATTTCATTTTTTACCGTATGTGTGTTTTAAAAAACCTTTTCATATTCAAGAGTGTGTCATCAGGACATTCTTGTTATTTATTCTTTATGCACTGCTTTAGTCAGGCTCATACAACGGCGTCTTAGGGACATTTGTAGTTTTAAAATAAGTAAATTACAGAGCCAGGAGAGGTGAGTAATATCTGAAAGAAATATCCAAAGACTAAAGTTGTAAATACATAAAAAAGTGTATTTTAAGAGATTAAAACGGGTCTTTTATGTGAAAAAACATGGATATATTTTGTGAATAAAGAGGTCAATTTACGTGAAAAAACATGTACATTATTTGAGATTAAACTAGTAGGAAAGAGTAATTAAATCATCTTTTATAATTACATGTTTTATATTATTAATCTGTAAGTAAAAAGTCATAAATTGGCAAAGAAATCTGAAATACCCCAAAATCAAAGGCTCACATTTTAATTAAAAAAATCACAATATTCAAGTTTTTTCCTCATGAATGTATTAATAATATTAACTTATTCCAAGAATATATAAATACTTTTTAAAATTTATAATCCTATGCTTTAACTCTAAATATGACTCCCCTCTGGCTCTGTTATTATTTACTTTTGAACCTCTGTGGTCCCAATATGCCGTTGTAGACGAGCTGACTGATCTTGTAAAATGCGACCCCAGCTGCGGCTGCAGTCTCAGTGTTTTTTGTCCAAATGGATCGCATGTTGGTGCAGTCGATGTGCGTCTGGTAGCACTCCCCCTCCCCTGGATATTTAAGTTTTAAAATAAATACAGTTCTGTCTACTTTATCTATTGTTTGTCTACAGGCTGCCTTTTATTATCCTTTCATTTGATTCCATGGAAAGTTGCTCTAGTTTCGACTGAGTAGTTTTTGTATACAAATAATATTAACCATATATAGATTTGAAATATATAGGTATGTTAAAGGGGACCTATCATGCAAAACGCACGTTTTGATGTCTTTTATACATAAATATGTGTCCCCGGTGTGTCGGGGAACTCACGCAGCGTCAGAAAATAAAACCCTCTCTCTTTTCCTCCGTACCCAAATCTATAAAAACGGGGAACAACGGAGCTGATCCAGATTTGCGTCCGATATGACGTAATATCTGAAATGTGGACCCACGGCCCAATCAGAAATGTTGCTATCAGAAACAATGCGCGACTGTTTTGGACGTAATATGGTCGGTGTTTACATTAGCATCGCTAACACTGAGAGCTAACCTGTACTGGAGAGCATGTGTGTGAAGAAGCAGGAAGTAAAAAGGAACTCACCTTGTGGTGTAACCGGCAAGAGAGAAAGCCTTTGAGCTCCAAACTGTTTCAGAGAGAATCCTTGATAATCCATGATATGGCGTTTCATCACGGCAGCATTTAGTTTAGACAGTAGCTGCCGGGTCCCGCATGAGCTCAGACCCCTTTTTTTTTTTTTAAAAGCTTTATACCCAAAATCAGCACTTTTGAAACAGGAAGTGAAATAGAGGGATATGAGGCATGGCTAGAATGGGTTTGGTATTTTGAGCAAAACACTTCATAGACATGTTTTTTTATATAACACCCACAGTACAATTATACTTTAACTCCTTAAAAGGTTTTTTGATATTTGTAAAGTTTATGTATATTGTAATATTGTGCTCGACACACAGCCCCCCCCCCCCCACATGAAAACAAACTCTTGAACCCCTCGATGGGGAGCGTTCATATTACATGTTTTTATTCCATATTTCAGCTCACCAGATGGCATACATACAAAACAATGGCGCTTTAAAATGCAGCATTATCACTTTTTAGTTTAATGGCGTTTGTTCGCCTTCAGGATAAGGCAGCAGAGAAGAGAGGGGATTATAACGCTCGAGTTTCTCTGAAAAAAAACAACATTTTCAGGGAAGGTGCAGCATCCAAGACGTTCTTCATTGGTACCGTATTGGGTCAGAACATCTGAGGCCGAAGAGCAAAAGCTTACAGAGATACGTTTTTTTTCATAAAGCATTTTTTTTGACCTGGCGAAATCTGACACCACTTCACTACTGAGAGATCACAGCGCTGCGTGCTCTCAGCTCAGTGGGAAAGACAGACAAAAAACCTCTCTAAACCGTTCACTCATAAACCACTTGCCTGCGCTCGGGTGCAACATCAGCTGTTTGTGCGTCTTTCTGTTCAGGCTGGAAACACCTTTCACTACATTCACTCACACACAGCCTGCTCAAAACACACACAGGATCGATGGAAAATAAACAGAAAAAGGCAAAAACAAATACTGACTGTTCAGGCTGGGCCGGTGGTTGCTACTTCTCCTTATAAAAACCCAAAGAAATCAACCAAAAAAACACATTTAAATAACAATACAAGACTTCTATTGCAGAGGGTCACCTTCCTCACGTCCCTGAAACAAAATACTGTAGTACTAGGAGCCGATACAGTAAATATATATGTATATATATATATGTTGGTTCTGGGAGGAACCCTTAAGGCATGATTTACATTTAAAGACTGCATTAATTACGTCAAGCCACAGGGAATGTGTGTTGAATCGGTAAATAAATACAGGAGTGAGGGGATGCCATACAAAAATCAAGTGTTTGAGACGACTGGAAACCCGCAGTCACACTTTACCAGTTTTTGTTTTCGCCGTCACCTGCTGACCTTTTGTTTTAGTTGATACCCCCCTGTGCTGTAGAAATACCTCTTCTTTAATTCATTTATTGATCTAAGGCCTTTTTTCAACATAAAAAAACATACACAACCTCACACCAAGGTCCAAAACGAGTCCATGTGTTGGCGTTCCCCCCGCGGTCGGTACCCACGCTCTTTACTCGTTTTCTGACGTGTTAGCGGTGAGTCAGAAGTCCTTTTTTTGTCCTCTGCTGGGTGATTGTCTGCGGAGTGGAGACAGCCGGGCGTGGGCAGCGGGGGTGCTTCAGTGGCACAACGCTCCCCACCGGCTGCTACCATGATGGAGGTCACGAGGACTCTGGGTAAATAACGGCGAGTGACGGCAACTCTGGGACACCTGAAGAAGAAGGGGTTTTGGTTTGGAGTTTCTTTCAGTTTTCATTAGCTTTCTTCATCTGTTTTTTTGTTGTTGTTGATCACTAGATAGATCTTAGATTGAATTCAACTGAGCAAAATCTAATTTAAATATTAAGTATTTAAAAACAGAGAAGAAGAAGGTGGTGGTGGTAGTGTGGCTGGAGGTCATAAAGAGTGGTCTAATACGATGATATCCCCCATGATAAGGGCTGCAACTATTTTTTGAATCTGCTGGTTAGTCTCAATTAATTATTTGGTCTATAAGATGTCCCAAAAAAGTTGAAATGCCCTCCCAAAAACCTTAGTTTAAATATTCTAGTAGTTTTTTTTTTGTGGTATTTTTAGCTTTAAAAATGATTTATGGATTATTAAATTGTTAAAGTAAATATCTATTGAATGTCTTTCAGATCCAACTATGACAATATATCAAAAAATACAACATAAATAGTCATTTTAAATATGGATTTGACTTTATCTGTGGGTTCTGGACTGTCAAAACAAGACATTTAAACTATTTTCAGACCAAAAGAATAATCAATACATTGGGAAAATAACCAGCAGACTAATCAAAGATCAAAGTTATTTGCAGCCCTGAGCCCCTAGATTTGCTTGTGACAAGAACATCAAGTTTAGTTCTTCAAATAAATTGGATTCCCATTTCAGTTTGGTGAAACTGGTTTTATAGCCGTTATTTACGAGAGCCGGACCTCCACCATGGTTTCCAAAAGTGTCGCGTCACATTAAAGTCCTGGGGTTCCAGATATGGGACGAGCCGATTAAATGAAATGGAGGGTGTGTGTGTGTGTGTGTGTGTGTGTGTGTGTGTGTGTGTGTGTGTGTGTGTGTGTGTGTGTGTGTGTGTGTGTGTGTGCGGTCTCCTCCTCTTTACAGGACGGTGCTCTCAGTGTCCAGCTCACAGTCTCTGGTTGGCAGGCAGGGGGGGGGCGACTGCTCTACAGCGATCTCAGGGACCAACGCTCGACTCAGGCCTCGGAAAGACATCGCCGGGTCTGAGGGGGGGATAAGTCAAAATAAGAAAGTAAATAAAAAAACAATAACATCAAACTTTTTTTGTTATCCTTGTGAACTTAAAAAAGTTACTCCGACATCCCTAGAGGACAAAAACATATGTATTTATATTATTTTCCACTAAGTTAAATCTCCTTTCGAAATTCAGTCCCCATTATCAATATTTAATATGTATTTATTTTCTAGAATACATTATTTATATCTAAATAATGCCATTGTTAATTTAAATGAAAAAAATGTTTTTCATTCAGCGACTTCACTTAACAGGAAACTAGGACAATTGGATGAATTTGCCCCATAAGACCAACAAAACCAAGTAGCACAAACTGGTGGAAAATAGCAACTGAGATATATGATTGTATACCTTAATGTATAATTGATCAAATGTTGTGGTTTTCATGAGTTTGAACTTCCAAATTGAAAAATAATAACACCCTAACTTGAACCAAAATGTATGCTATATGCACAAAAAAAGCCAAAAAGTCCAACAAGTGATGCAGAAGTTGAGCTGCACTAAACAAGACTTTGTGAAAGAAAAGAACAATCATTAAAATATATATATAAAGTCAAATAGAAAATGCTTATTTTAGTAACTGGTTGTGTTAGTAAGTAATGGTTCATATGTTTGTGTTGCATGCAGGCATTCACACAGAACACAACAGAAACGTCCTCAGAAGATAAAGCTCCTCTTTAAGCTGCATCCCCGTTTCACACCGCATCCACTACAAACTCCTGGTCCTCACTTTCAAAGCCCTCCACCATCTGCCTCCCCCCCCCCTACCTCACTGACCTCCTCATCCTCTACCAACCACCCCGGTCCCTCAGATCCACCTCAGCCGGTTTGCTTTCCATCCCTAAGGCCAAACTCCGGAGCTTTGGGGACAGAGCCTTCTCTGTGGCAGCCCCGAAGCTCTGGAACTCCCTCTCCCAATACCTCCGTGAGTCTGAGCCCCTCACCCTGTTCCAGTCCCGCCTCAAAACCCACCTCTTCAACTCTGTATCCATAAGCCCCCCCCCCTCTCAATCAACTTCCTCCTGACTGCTTTTTTGTTTTTGTTTTGTTTGTCTACCCTCCCTCCCAAATGTAAAGCGTCTTTGGGTTCAAGAAAAGCGCTATAGAAATAAAATATATTATTAAAATATATTATCACAGGAACAATGAGCGTAATCACTAACATGTGCAGCTCCTTCTCTGCTGCAGGAAAACACTTCACTGCAGCTGGGTGATACTTTCCAAAGCTTAGAGAGCAGCAGGTAGTCGTACAGCAGGGGGCGCTGTGGGGCCACACACTGAGAGAAGCAGGGCAACAGCTGTGCATAGTGGATATTAAATGGGAAGTGTAAAGAAACCAGGTTGGAATTCATTAGCTGTGCGATCAGAAGTGCAGAACAAGCTGTGCTAAAGTCCACAGGGGACATTTTAATACTTAGATTGAGAAAAATGCTAAAGTTTTGAATGTGTTGTGTTCATACTTGCCAACCTTGAGACCTCAGACATCGGGAGCATTTCAAAACCACCGCGGGGGGGGGGGGGGATAGTGGATCGCCGGAGCTGTTAGATTAACATTAACATGCTTAATGTGGTTCTAAGTACGCGCTACCATGGAAACCAGACAATGGTGTAGCTGTATTAAAGTCCGAGTGGAAACAGTCGTGAGTAAATCTGATTTTGTCAGAAATCGGGATAAATATAACCCCGGTAGGAAACCGGGAGAGGGCTATGAAATCGGGAGTCTCCCGCGAAAATCGGGAGGGTTGGCAAGTATTATGTTAGATAAAAGCTGGTTATACTTTCTGAATGTGTGCATTATCTTCAGCAAGACAAGAAACATGCATGTTAGAGTTAAACATGCGCGATACACGGACACTGGTTTAAAAAAAATATATATAGGCTATATATAATTGTCACAACACCTCTGATGACAAAAAACAAAAAAGCTTCACAACATAAAAAAATCAGGAGATACGTGCTGACAATTCAGAGTTTGTAAATTCAGTTGTGAAAGTGAAACTTGTATTCAATGCTGTTTCAAACCCCCACTGTGTGACTGATGAACATGTAGTGACTGTGAATGATGAAGAGTGACTGATGATGAAGGTTAGCCCTGATGGAAGACATGTCATGGTGCATAAAGTTGTATTTTATTATTAACTGAGGTGTTGCTTTTTCACATTTAATATGAACTTCTGTAATAGATGAACCCACTGTGGGAGACAAGAATCACCCATATTTGTTTTTGGGACTTAATGACCTTATTTGGACAATCTGTTGACAGTACATATTCACACACTGTGACAGTCGAGCATCAGGGCTTCACGTTGGCACATGATATCTGGATGAAGCAGCAGCTGCACAAAATGAAGATGATAGTGTGATTTTAGGGGCAAACAAAAAGTGATGGTGCTATTAGTGAAAAGTTCAATCAACAACAAACCTCAACAGGTGCCTCTTTAACCTGTGGAGGTATTACAATGCAACACTATTAGAAAGAGAGCACATTAGTATTACTCAGCAGAGAGTAGAGTGGTGCAGGAATGAGTCCTAAAACCTGGAGATGAGTCAGCATTTTACCACTTCCCTCTTCTCAAAGTCAATTTCTATTTTAGCATGTTCTTTGTTAGATGCATGAAATAAGGTGTGTGGTTAAAACAAGCTCAAGAGTTTTTAAGGTTTTGTTCTCAGACAGAAAATATGTCAGTAAATCCCCCACTTGTGCATCTCTGAAGCCTTTAAGTGTCTAATACGAGTTGGATGTAAACAAGATTATAAATGAGACTACTTGAGGTCATCACACTAAAAGTTAGCCACCTTTAGCTTAGCGGTGGTGACGTGAAGTGAAAGCAGGGGTGTCAAACTCAAGGCCCGGGGGCCAAATCCGGCCTGTGACTTCATTTTCTGTGGCCCCACAAGAGCTTGCAAAGAATATAATATGTTTATTATACGGTTACATGCAGATTTACAGAAGCACGTTGCCCATAAACTACATGTCCCACAATGCATCTCAATTGTACTTTTTCCTCATAATTTGACCTCTTTTTCAAAATGTTACTTTTTTTTCAAAATGTCCCTTTTCTCAAGATTCTGGCTTTTCTTTTAAAATCATTTTGTGACATTCTCACTGAAAAGACTTGCAATTATTTGCCCTAGACTTCTTCTTTCAGACGTAGTTAATTATGAAGTTATTACCCTATCCGAAAATAATCCAATGCAGAGGCAATCATGTAATATATTATTTATATATATATATATTTATATATGTATTTTTATATAGTCTTAAAGTTACAACCGGCCCTTTGAATGCAACCATAATGTTAATGTGGCCCGCGATGAAATTGAGTTTGACACCCCTGATGTAAAGGAACTACAGCATGGAAAACACATGATGCTCCATGACACTTATGACACCACTTTTATAATAGTTGAAGCCAGTTTTCGAATTACCCATTTGCTTTCGGGGGAGCCCTATTTTTCAGTGCACATCCTGCTACTAAATATATCACACGCACGCTCTGTTGACTGGCGCAGCAGCGCAGATTCGATCAATTGCTATAAAATCACTCTGCTACTACTACAGACGGTGTCACTACGCCGGCGGCTGTGGCCGTTGTTGAAGCCTCTTCAGGCTCCGCATCGGCAGGCCTCTCCCTCGGTGTGGAGCTGTCAAACTCGACCCTAACGCCGCTTACAGCCGGCCAACTAAAAGTTGTTTTCCGTTCACGTTGTCATTTTTAGACTCCTTCACTTCTTTGCTTGTGAATCCAAAAGCTGTGACGCTTGGCTGTTTTCGTTTTGCCATATTTTTTATTACAAAGCCAGAGTTAAAAAAATATATGAAGATATATGAACATATCAAATACCGCGCCGGCATCGCCACCGTAACCATAGCAAAGTAAGTAGCGTAAAGAACGCAGCGCCGCCACGTACACATGGCAACACCCAGAAATATTCACAAATATAAAACAAATATTCAGAAACTGTAATGAACAATAACTATTATTTATTTCAAGAACTGTTATTTACAGAAACTCAACATTTCTAATCGGTGTGACACAAATATGCACGATTGTTTTGGGCTCCCCCTATTTATCTCAAAGTCGGCCTTCAGGGGAGCTCCCTCCCTCTTCGGGGGAGCCAAGCTCCCCCCCATTTCGAACAGTGGTTGAAGCGTAAATGCAATGGCCAAAAGGAAAAAGCTAAGATAACATGATGTAGTTCCTTCATAGCTTAACGTTAGCTTTTGAATTTTAGCAATTGCATTTACGCTTCAACTATCAAAAAAGTGGTGTCATAAGTGTCATATAGCATCATAAACATAGCTTACTTTCTGCAATAAGTCTATGATCAACTCCCATTGGCTTGTTCTCAATGGAACCGGAGTGATGCTAACTCAGTTTCAGACTACAAACTCATCACTGCACCTCTCTATTATTATAAACGTTTCTACACACGAGACACACTCACCCATCATCTTGTAGGCGGTGGCACAGATCCCATTGGTGTCTCCGGTCAGGGTGGGGGGTGGCTGTGGAGGGGGGGGGGATGCTGGGCCGGTTCCTGGGTTTGGGGACGGGTCTGGGCCGGGGGAGGGAGCCAGACTGGAAAGGAGACGGGGACGGAGGAGCTACTTCCTGGGCAGCAGCAGTGGTGGAGGGTGGAGGGGTATCTGGAGGGGTGGGGGTGCCTGGGGGCGAGGGCTCCGTGCTCTGAGGGTCTCCACCCCCCCCGTGATGCATTTGAGGACTGGCGGGTGACGGGGGCTCGGGGGGAGGGTGGCTGGGCGCCTGGATGGGAGGCTGGTTGCTGGAGTGGCGTCGGGGCGTGGCACAGGGCTGTGAGGAGGGGGTGGTGGGGGAGGAGGGTGAGAGGTAGGACACGGGTCTGGGGGAGAGGCTGAGGCAGTGGGAGGAGGGGGGGCCGTGGTTTGTCATGTTACAGGGCTGAAAGAGGGGAGGGTTCGGCGGCTTGGGGGGGGCCGGAGCCTGCTTCTTGGTACCTGAGAGGTGAAGGTGAAGATCGTCATTATTGGTGGAAAGATACACTTTCAAACAGCAGCCCCCCCCCATGCATCTTTAAACAGTGAATATGAAGCTACAGACCGCTAGCCAGTTAGCTTAGCATTATCAAGGTGTATATTAATAGTAGGGCTGCATAATCAATCAAAATAGTGTCGTGGGCAGTCCCCATTAATCAGCTGTCACAAAAAACAGTAAATGGGGCAGCTTTAGCCAACATTGCTAATTTCCTGCTGCAGATGAATAGACACCTTTTTAAAATCACAATACATCAACAGCAGTAGTTATACATTTAAAAAGAACAAATCTCTTCAGTTTAGTTCCAGTTGCTTTAAACGTCTTGTAACCCTGATGTGTTCTTAATAGAAATATACCAATTTGAAGCAGATAATCACACAGACTCTTACCTCTGCGCATCAGATGTGGACTGGGCCCCAGGGGTCCAGCCCCGGGGGTCCCAGTGCCCAGCTGCCCCGCTCCAGAGCCGTTCCTCTGGAGCGGGGGGGTTGGGCCTGGGGTGTGGTCACGCAGCTTTGGGTTGCTTTAAAGAAGAAAGAAAATAATAGAAAGTATTTTAAACTTGATAGCGTTCTGACATTCTGGGTAGGGGTTATACCACAGCACCCACTGAGGGTTAGAGCGAAGGAGGTAGCGGAAATCAGTTAGCATTTTAACATTTTGTTTCCTTCATCTCAAAGTCAACATGTTTTTGGTTAGACGCCTGAAATAAGATCTGTGGTTAACACGAGCTGAAAAGAGTATACCATCAGTCAGTAAATAACCAATTTTTGAATGAGCAAAGCTTCCATGTGTCTTAAAAACTCAAATGTCATCACGACAAACATTAGCCGCAATTAGCTTAGCAAGTGCGACCCCATGTAGATCATTTATAGTCTAACGTTACCTTTTTACTCTGCGTTTACGCATCAAAAATCATAAAGTGGTGTTAATATGTGGAGAATATCCTGCTGAACAAAACTGGCAACTATAAAAAATGTGATAATGGAAAAAGCAAATAGCTTTTTGTTGAGGGAGCCTTTGCGATGCTACTGTAACATCCGGGTCGGCCTTCAAAAATATCTCTGCAACGCTTTATTAAGACAAACATCCCAGCTCTAATCTGGGTGTGTCATCTAAGTCTATCAGAGTCTAAGGACCAGGAGAATGCTGAATGGCGCTAAGTGTCTGGATATGAAGCTTGTCCTTTCAGCAGCTAAATCAAAGACACCCTTCAGTAAAATGCGAGGCTTTTCAAAGCAGTTTGGGCCGGTCAGTGTGAGATTCCTGCTGATTCCAGTGATTTGGGGGGAAAGCAGAAGGATGGGAAGTGGAGAGGCCCTGGGAGTGACCGTTAGCAGAATGACAGCGGCCATTGTTGTGTCTGTGGGATGGACTCAGACACTTCTGCATATCTGAAGCTGCTGGAGGAGTGTGAAGATTTTTGCACGAGAAACAACAAGCTGAACCAAAGTGACCCAGAGAGGAGGACATGTCTGTAATGTACCAGTGAAACATGCATTAATAATCAGAGGTGGAAGAAGTACTCCGGTATGTTACTTAAGTAGAAATAAGAGATATTAATTCATTCACTCATTTGGAGCTAATTTTAAAAGATTTTTACGGTCATTTTCAGGTTCAAATTTGTATTTAGTGCCTCTACTGCAGTGCTTCTCAAAGTGTGGTCCGTGAGCGGCCCCTAGTGGTCAGTGAGTATATTGGTAACATTTCACATTTGAAATTAAAAAAAATACATTTAAGTTTTCCGCACTCTCGCGGGAATAGCTCCGCAATGGAGTGAGCTTAAGTTTCACTTTCGATTGCATGATATAGCGCAGCGCAACACCTTCGTCACACATGTTGCCATCTGTTTGTACCATTTTCAGGCGATTTGTAATCTGTTCTTGAAAAACGATGTGTTTTTGGATATTTGTGGAGTTAGGTGGTCCGCGAGTGTTTTTTTATTGGTTAAGTGGTCCTTGGTATGAAAAACTTTGATCACACTGATCTACTGGGACATGTCTCCATGCTTTAATGTTCAAAAAGCTTTATTTTTCTCCTACTGCCTGTGCTGCAGCACCACTTTTCACCCTCTGTCTGAAACCAGAGCCCAGTCTGCTCTGATTGGTTTGCTGGCCGGCTCTGTTGTGATTGGTCAACCGCTTAGAGATGTCCCGCCCCTTAGACTATCACGTACAATGTGTTGGAGCGCTAGCCAATAGAAGCTCGAGTGTTTCAAAGTGATGTCAATATGTTACAGAAGTAAACAAAGGAGCCCAATTGGGAGGGGATTTTAGCCCTTTAGACCATACACTAAAACCTACATTATATAACACACTAGAGGAATTGGAAAACCCCAAAAAGCAGAATGGGGTCTCTTTAAGTTGAACAACTGAGCTCTTCTTCCACCACTGACTGAAGTTTAGTTGAGTTTATTTGTTTATAGTGTCGTGGACAGTCCCCATTGATCAACTGTCACCAAAAACAGTAAATGGGGCAGCTTTAGCCAACATTGCTAATTTCCAGCTGTTGTCCCCGGAGTAAAGTAATAACAGCATGCGTTCTCCACAGTGTTTCGATGTTACCTGAGCTCCTCCGTGTGCTGCGCTAGGAGCTGCTGCGCGGCGGCGAGGGCAGCGAGGCTCTGAGCGAGGCTCTGCTGGGTGTCGGGCCCCGGACCCCCTGATGGAGCCGGGGGCGAGGGCTCGGCTGAGGGGGGGGCCTCCACAGGGGGTAAAGGGGGCTGGAAGGCAGGTGAGGTGTGCTGCTTTCTACCTAAGGTGTTACTGCCTCTACGCAGGGTGTGGTCCGAGTACTTGTTAGGAGTGCTACACGAGGGGGGGGGAGACAGTGAAGGAGAAACAAAAAACACCAAAGCTTTGATCAAAAAGAGGAGAGAATCACCAAAACCCCAGAGATTTTAAAAACAGTGTTAAGGATTAAAAGGATTCAATTAAATCTACCCCAAAATCTACAGGAAGGGATCAGAAAAAGCCCCCGGATTAATGGCAACATTTCTAAAGCAATTAATCGGAGGAATAGATTAATGTTGTAGGCTTTGGAAACGAGAAGGTTTCAAGGTAAGAAAACTCCAGATGAATTACTTTTCTTTGCGTGTCGAGTCGTTCTCTGGTCCCACCATGCTGCCCGGCCTCTTCCTCTCGATGGTGCTACAGTCATAGTCCAGGTGGTTGTTGTGGTTGGATGCAGGGGTGGGCATCGCAAACATGCCGGACACATTGAACTCCACATCTGTAAGAAAACAGAGGAGACAGCAAGTTCAAACTACATGAAAACTGGACAGGAAGTGAGGATCAGGATTTTGACAGATGCTCATGATATGCTTTAATTAAGGCGTACGTATCAAACACCCTCTGCATGTTTATCACAGAGAATACAAATCAGAATTGGAATACCTTTATTAGTCCCACAGAGGGGACATTTACATTGTTACAGCAGAAAAGAGCCAAAGATAGCTTAATGTTACCTAAGAAGTACTTACACAAAAAAGTATAATCAAAAAAAGTTACACAATTTACAAAATACACATCCTGTAACAGCAGCAATTGGAGCAGGGCAGATGCAGCAGTGATTTTGATTTCTGCTGACTCTTCCTTTCTCACCAGGCAGTTCCTATTAATTGTGTTAATTTCTCAGAAATGTCCAATTTAGCAAAACAACACTGTATCAAATAGTTTACACAAGAGACGAGCATGACCATAAGAATAGACAAGCTACATCAGGCCATCTACGGGCACCTAAACCCAGGACAAATCTTCTGACATCTTCTGTGACTTATAGAGCTATAATGGAACTCATTGCCAAACTACCTTGCTGAAATAGAGTCCAGAGCCTCTTTCAAGAAGAGATTGACGTACCATCTACTAATGTCCATATACCCTTGTGAGCTGTGAACCCTAATTGAATTTGATTTCATGCTTTGTACTGGTGGCTGTCTTGTGCACTCATCTTTGGCTGAGTTTGATGTTGAAAGTGGATGAGATTGTTGGTGATGTTGTTAATGATGTCAGGACTTATGTCTTGAATGTTGTTGTATTGTTTTAAGTGTTGGACCCCAGGAAGAGATACTTTTGTCAAGGGTAAAAGCTAATGGGGATCCTAAATAAACATAGTGACTCCCTGGTGTCAAATAGTCTGTGATTATCTACAAAGATAAAACAGGACCTACCCTCAGGAAAGAACCAGTCAGCGTGCTGGATGATCGGCTCGATGATGGCCACCACGTGCACAGAGGTCGCTGCAGCCATCTCAGCCAGACTCCTACACACACACACACACACACACACACACACACACACACACACACACACACACACACACACACACACACACACACACACACACACACACACACACACACACACACACACACACACACACACACACACACACACACACACACACACACACACACACACACACACACACACACACACACACACACACACACACACACACACACACACACACACACACACACACACACACACACACACACACACACACACACACACACACACACACACACACACACACACACACACACACACACACACACACACACACACACACACACACACACACACACACACACTTAACTAATGCTGCTATGGACAGTCTTGCACTAATGTACATTTTTCACAGATTTTGAAGTGACTGTTATTTTGTATATATTGATTGTCATGCTTTTATTTATGTCTTTAATGTGTGCATATTTATAAATGTGTCTGTTGATTATACTTTTTTATATATATATATATTTGTATTTTTCGGGATTGTGGGAAACGGTATTTCGATCTCTCTGTCTGTACACACAAACTGAAAGATTGACAATAAAGTTGACTTTGACTTAAATAACTGGTCATCCTCTCCACCAACATGTACTACAATCATGCCTCTTGAGATGATGATGATGATGATGAATACATGTTCCTTGTTTTACACAGTAACTGAAGTGTTCCCCCTCTCACCCCTCAGTTTTGGCCCACATCAGATTGGGTCCCAGGACGATGGCGAGGTTGCTCGGAGACATTTTGTTCACATCGCTGTCCTGGGCCAGTTTGGCTAGAAACTTCACCAGATACCTGAAGGAAAACGTGGAGGTAATCAACACAGGTTCCAACAATAACCAGGTTCTAAAATTGATCACAAATATCACCTGAATTGCCAGAATATAAGTAAATAAAATGTGACTTGAGTGCTTGTTTGAATTCACTGATGATATGCAATTATTAGGATTCGTTTCAGCAAGATAAGCAGAAAGTGGTTTTTATTATCCCGAAAAAGAGTGGACAACAAGTAAAATAGCTCAGAAGAACCTCAAATGGTGAAAAGAAACTAAGAAATCTAGATAGAAATATACAATATTAGTTTAACACCTGGGCGTCATGTATTATTGTGAGTGTGGTTACATCAGAAACTATTTGAATCTGCTGCTCATTATGTCATTTCCATGGACGTTAAAGTCACATACATGGCGTGTTTTTATTCACTCAATCTGCTTGCATTGAACTTTTCTTGCTTCTAACAACTATTGCTCCTCAACAAGCATTTACCTTTTGGCTTTAAAGATTTTATCATAATTCGCTTCAGGTTTTCTTCATGCAAAAGTTGAAAATGCATTAAAACCAGTGCATGGACAACAACAAATTAAACCTAGGAGACAAAGATGATAGTAACAAGGCTTGAAAGTACTCACTTCAGGTTGTTCTTGTTGTTCTTTGGGAGATTATCACACACAACCCAGAGAGCCTGGAGCCTCTTGTCCGGGTCTGACACGCTGCAGAGAGAGACATGTGAACGCAGAGCTTGTTATAAATCGAGTCTAGAGAAAGCTGGATCCATCATTCTATTGCATCCATATTGCTGGACAGAAATACAACAATGGTTCATTTTATCCCCAGTGTTATTGTTACCTGCATGCCTGTATCCATTCATCGTAAAGCTGGAACGTCATCAGAGGCTCAGGGAGTTCCCTCAGGTAGGACTTCAGTGCTCCTGAAACCACACAGACAGAATTATTGAGCCACTTTTCCACACAAAATGGGGTAATATTTCATTATATCAAACTGATTAGTGAAATTATAACCATTTAATAAAACATCAAATAGAGTTCTTCCTTCTTTAATGAAATCTATGGAAGCCCTGAGAGGCAAACAAATCTGCGCATCTGTTTTCTTTGTCCTTTTTTTGTAAATATGACTAATTTACGTTTTCTTCCATATAAGTCGGAAGATTAGTACCGACCTGTTTTCGTGGAATGGAAAGAGCTACCGTATAATTTTCTAAATCCAACCCAATCCACTTTATTTATATAGCACATATTAAAAACAGAGGGTTTACCGAAGTGCTTCACAGCCACATAACATTATAATAAAATATAATATTACAATAATAGATAAAAGGCACACATAAGAATAGATAAAAGGCACATAAGGGCTATGGACAGACAAATAAAAGCATAAAGATCGATAAAACATAGCTCAAACTGACTCGAGGGAAAAGAGGTGGGTCTTCAGGCGAGACTTAAAAGTTTTAAACATTTAAACATTTTAATTTGCAGGTTTGAGACAGTGGCTTGTAGACCGTGTCAATACATATCAACTGCTCTACTGTCAGTAAAACAATCTCATTAAAATTGTACATTTAAATGAATTGGTCCGAGCAACCAAGAAAAATAATTGATAAAAAAATGACTAGTTTGGGACGTACCAGCGACAGCATGGGGGTCAGAGTAGAACTCCTCCAGTTGTGAAGTGGAACAGTCCAGTGCGGCCTTTAGCTTCTTTAGCTTCGACGCTCCGGCTGCGATTCTGAATAGACCCTGCCACACAAACACAAACACACACACACAGATAAATAAACCACACTACACTGCCAGCAAACAACAGAGTTGACACAGGCCGGCATTCACTGAGCACACGAGACCCCGTGCTTTTCACTGTAACTTACACACTCCCTTTCCTCACACTCAATTACACATAGACTCTGTATAAAGTCCCCTACCAGCTGCACATAATGAAACCTTAAAGCAGGCGAACAAACACGCACCCACCACTCTTTACTTTGACACACAAACAAAAGCCGTCTTCACACCGTAATGACACAGAGAGGAATGAATGGCTCCACAAATAATGTGCTGTGCAGTTACCACTCTCTCAGGCTCTTTTCTGTACACACACGTACACACACGTACACACACACACACACACACACGAGTCAGATTTATGGTCAGGAGACAAGTATTGTTTTCTATATTTGTATCAGGGTGGGGCATCTCAAACTTGTCATAAATCGTCTCTGGTGACACTTTCTTTGGAGTTTCCCTTGTTTATAGTTCGTCTGTCCGCCCATCTCCCAGTCCCAGATGTGAAACAACAAGTTGGAAGCTTGGTTTCAATTAAGTCAATGACCAGCGGAGCCGCTAATGGCAGCCACGGCTCCATGTGACTTTTAATGACCTACGCCAGCACTTCTTTGACTTTCATGGTGAGGCGAGGAACACAAAAGGAGCTACTGTCAGTTAAAGCAAACTAATACGGATTCTTCATTATAAAAGACTGGCTGTTATTTAAAGAAGGTTTTCCCTTTCCTTCAGAGTGTTGTATAGGTTTGAGTGCATGTAAATGGTCTCCAATGGCTTAAATCCCTGGGTTCTGTGTGCAAAATACGGCCCCTTTAATCCTGATTAATCAGAAGTTTATGTAATTCATGGTAAAAATCTGCGCTACAATTTTGGGGGGACATTTTGGGACAAATGTGGTAATGTGATTACTTTGCATAATATCTTAATACGTTAAAGTTTTCCGATGAATGATGGTGAGCTTTATCAAGTTAACGTTGACAGCTCTTAACTTATTCTGTATATTTTATATTGTGTACCCTATAGATGTTCTATAGATATACATATTTTTTACTGTTGATATGTATGTATGTATACACATCATTTAATTTTAAGCATGTGATCTCTCCACGTCTTTTTTATTTTATATATGATTTATTTGTGACATTATTAAACACAGGAAGCATACATACATACATAGACCCTCACATGTACAGGGTATGTGCAGGAATCCTGAAGTCAAATGTAATTCCTTTTAAAACCTTTTTTAAGACCCTTTCCATACATGTTAAGACCTCATCGCCACTTGGAGTTCTAACCGGTTACCTTGGCGACACACTTTACCTCACATTGACTATATACAGTATTGATTGTCCTTCCTCCTTATCTTCCAACTATTTGAACGCAGACTTGCATTTCCCCATAACGATGTTGTTTAACAACCGGCGTAAACGGACCTTCGCGCTATCAAGCAGTGAGCGTGCGATGTCCTGTTCAGATGACGTCAAACCCAACGGGATGCCATCAATAAACTACACAGAATCAAACTACACACCTACGCAATGATTACAATGAGGCACACTGTAGAATACAACCTCTTTGGACCATTTATTTACTTATTGAAAACAAGCTACAAATGTAATACCTTGGAAAATGCCCTTTAATACTTTTTAATAGCCTTCATTTTCGCTACATTGATTGATCAACTTTGAATACTTTTTAAGACACCCTGAATAAAGGCAGTTAAAGAGACCATTCTATCAGGGTCAACAATAAAAAAAAAAAAACATCTCTCCAGGTCTTCACCCCCTCACCTCCTCCTTCATGCCGGTCTCCAGCAGCATCATGACGCAGGCCTCCAGCGGCAGAGCGATCTCTCGTCCGCTCCTCTTCAGGTGTTCGTCCAGCATCGTGCCGAACGCTGGCTTCTCCGTCCACGAGTCTGAAGGCAGAAAGAGAGACGAATGGTGAAATAAGACGCAGTGATAGTTAGAAGATTAATGCTGTTGTGGAATATGTGCAGGGTTGGGCAGTAACGTATACATGTAACGTAACAAACACAAATAATGATATACTCAATTATATTTTGAAAATGTTTTGATGACTTCTTAAAAATATGGCAATTTTATAATAATGAAACTTTCCATGATAAGAAATACACCTGTAGTTTGTTAGTGTATTTGAAGCAAGCAACTGTAGATACACAAAATGCATTTCCTTGCATTAAAAATCCTTTAAGGAGTTTGGAAAGAATAAACAATACATTTGGAGATCTTATTTTTTTAAGCTACCTCCATTTATTAGTGTAAGGTGCAATATCTCCAACGTTGGATCTTGAAGATTAGACCACTTTTATATATTTGTTTTGGTTATAAAAAGGGACAGTTATTAGTTTGCGCTTTGGGAATGGAGAATAATTCCCATGTAATGTGTATCTAGTAACTGAATGACTTCAAAGTAATTCAACCTGTCCTTGGTCATTTTATAAGATCTGTCTTTTACTCTGGTATTCATTAAAGAAATATAAACATGTTTATATTTCGGCCCTGCTCCAGGCCTCTTGCTGATCTGAATGGCAGATTTTTGGTTCAACAGTCCTCTCTCCCCCAGCAGGGAGCCGTCAAATAATAACCACAGGAGTGACTGTTGAATCGTCTGTGTGTGTGTCTGTGTTGTTAGAAATTAAAATCAATGTTGATATGGCATAATTTGAATTAAATACACTGTATTTAATTTAAATCAATTTTATTCTGAAAAACCCGGAAGTTCACACTAACTATTAACTTAACACTTTTATTCTGAAAATTAATCATTTCCGGTTAGCTAATGCTAACCGGAAATGAATAATTTTCAGAATAAAAGTGTTAAGTTGCTACGTTGTCAAACCGTGATTTGAAGGTGAAATGGCGTGATGTTGTACCCTTAACACACAGGGTTTAACACTCATTTATTGACGCTGAAATCACGTTTATTAGGGAATGTTTAAATAACCACAGACACCAGAATGATGTAATTTAGCAACAGAAAAAGGGAGGAATTGCATTGGACCCGCCCCCCGACGACGTCGGCCAATAGGAGGAGACCTCGGATGACAACAGGAAGAGGAAGCGAAGAATCGATCTCTTCTACCCCCTGACCTGGGCTGACCGGACGCATGGGGCCAGAGCATGGGGCGAGAGCCGCCACTCGCACATTTCATTTGTACATCGCCGCATCTTTTGTGTAATTAAATGCTGTTAAATTGTATAGGCTTCCCTTAACTCTTTTCAGTATGTCCTGCTCTCAGGGTTCTAGAATTGCTAACAGTGTGCAAGTAGTGTGTGTGTGAGAGCTAATACACTAGTGAACAGGGAGGAGGGGGAGGGGGGGGTGTTGCTGTTAGCAAAACCCAGGTGGGTGTGAAGTGAGAAGGGTGTGTGTGTGTGTGGTTCGTGAGTCATCGCCACATGCTGGGAGACCAGGCTCGTCTGGTTTAGACCACATGTGTTTAACACTGAAAAAAAACAAGCTCCCTTCAATGAGACACATGTAACATTGGCTAAAGAAACTCTAGGAAATCTGCGAGGAGAGATGATGTTTTAAAAATGGAAAATGTGATTCTTTTTGGAGGGCAGAGGAGCGCTGAAAACAAAAGGCCATTCTTTAAGATCTGGGCCTCACTTGTAGAGTTTGACAGTTACCGCTTCTGGGAGAAAACAGAGTAGAGTGATGTAATTGAAATGTACAGTAGCTTTGAGGAGGAGTGAATAAGAAAAGTGTTTCTCCTCCAAGCAGCTACTTGTCTCACACCTCCTTCACAGGAAAATGCGTTTAAAGAGACCAAAACATTGGCGGCCCCTCGGTGAAAGGTGCATTCTTAAGAGCATGGGTGTCTTTCTGTCTGCAGTGTTTGTGTTGAACAGCTGTGAGTGCATAAAGCCATGTTTGCATGTATCTCACCTTGCTGATCCTGGATGGTTGGCAGCACGCTCTCCAGCACAGTGAGAGACTTTCTGTGGTAATCAGCTTGAGCTTCTAAGAGCTACAGAAACCAAACCACAGAGAGACGAAGATTAGGGTCGATTAAGACCAAGCAGTAAAAGACAGGCAAGTAAATAAAAAGCATTGCCAAGTCTGTGTTCCCCGGTTACTCTGCAGCTGGGAGTGTTCTCACAACAAACTCATGCACACACACATTTTTGTGGCTTGCTGATGACACGCTGTACTCACTGTTATGAAGTAGCGGGCATTGTCCCCTTCTTTGGAGAAGAAACTGTACATGTCTGCAGCGAGTTGATCCTGGTGGATACAACACAGATTACAAAAGTTAGTTCACTGATTCACGTAATATTAAAGAGGGCTTAATGTGTTTTTGACGTAACTGTCTCCATCAATGTCTGGTAAGACACTTTCATTTGTGTTAAAAGAAGAGAACAGTGAAGAAAAGACATGTAAAGGATAACATGGAAATAAATGTACCGAAACAAACAAACAATATCTCTGTGTGATGTGTGAGCGCGTCGGCCAGGAGCAAAACCAAAGGACAGAAAGGAGCAGAAACCAAGTGGGAAAGATTGCTCTTTTAGGCGGTTTCCTTTCCTGTAGTGTGTTTTATAGGTTTTTTGGCATGTAAATGGTCTGCACTCTAAAATCCCTGTGTTCCCTCCAGAGGGAGTTACTGTAGGGCCCCTAAAGTGGGGGGAATAGGGACTAGTTCAGATGTTTTGGTTTTGTATCTAATACATTTCCATATTCACTGTATAAGGAGATGCCGGTCACCCCCGAAAAACCAAGATGTGTCCGAGCCTGTTTTTCAGGTCTCCGGCTTGAAAATGACATTCCCAGAACAATTGACTATATCTTCACTTCTAAAAAGGGGTACATTAATAATCTGTGAGTTGGATGTAGAAAAGTCAGAATCAATATAGATTTTTTTTAATTTTAAAGTAAATTCAGATTGAACACACATGTAAATTAGATTACTTAGTGTATAGTGAAAAGCACCTTGAATGATGGGTTGGTAGACTAAAAGCTTTAGGAATCCAAACTATAACATATAATAAGTACCCTGTATCAAGATTGATGCAAAACAAGTGACATTTGACCTTTTTAGAGAGATTTAGAAAAAGAAACCCACTTCTGGGGTCATTTGGGTGCATTTTCCATATCTCTGGCCCCCCTCGGTCGATTTTGATGATTGACATCTCTTTTTAACCGTTAGCCAATAGAATCGAGGGGAAGTTCCTAAAATCCATCTAAACATTACCCATTGGTGAATGAGTGATGCGCAGCCAGAATGTGACTTCCTCGAAGACAGGAGTTGTTTACCGCTTTGTTGAGGCTCCATTTGTTATTGTGTGGTTCTGCTGCTGTTAACTATTATTAATGTATCAAAGATCTTCCATCTCCACAGCGTCATCCATCAGATGAACGTGTGCAGACGTCAGCGGTCGCTAAGCTTCTGTCCGTTATCGAACTGACTCATAAACCCTCCGGCTAATGCTGGCAGGACTCTGAGAGAGCGGGGGGGAAACACACGGCTCCAACCTTCCTGGATAGAAAACCTGACGCATCATGCAGCCGCTGGACACTCAGACTCACTAGTGATTCAGCACACGCACACACACACACACACACACACACACACACACACACACACACACACACACACACACACACACACACACACACACACACACACGCACACGCACACACACACAACGGTGCATTTTCAGTGTGTGCGTCGGCAAACTGGGTCAGAGGTCCCGAGGGTCTTGGGAAGTCCAGAGTCATCTATATTCAACTGTTAATCTCTGCAAACCTCACATTTCTTTGGAGCAAATATCTGGTTTTATAAACATATATTTTTTTATATTTCTTGTTTTTATATATTGAAGTACAATGTGTGTACAATTGACCTTCTCTTAATAAAAAAAATATTTAAATGTTATAATTTTATTCTAAAAAAGAGCTACTGTCATAAAATCCATTTCTCCCGGGGATACATCCAGTATTTCTGATTGTGACAACATGCTGGTTACCTTGCAGAGCTCCACTTTGTTCATGGCCTCGTCCATCTCCTCTTTGAGGAGCTCAGCCTTGGCCGTCAGTGCGTGAGTGTTTGTTCCTGAGATTATTGACTTGGTTGCCTGCAACCATCTAGAGTTTGGAAAAACAAGGAAACATCGGACATGGAGTTAGAATACCTGAAGCTGTTTACTGTCATACTTTAAAAAAACGACATTTTCATAAAGCGTGACAAACCGTGCTCTGGCAGAATCGTAGTCCAGCACCAGTTTGGCCAGCTGTTTCCTCTGCTTCAGGATGTTGGGAATGTCCACCTATACAATTATACAACACACAGACATGTTGAATGAGCCTGAGGATTATTAATGGCAGACATCTGTTTTGATTCTTCTTCCAGGATGACGGTTTTAAGATTTTCTTCTGATTTGGAAATACCTACAATTATTTCTAAAAGGTTGACTGAAACTATTGGAAAATGTACTCCTACTATATAGTGAAATAAATAAAAATATATATAAGTAAATTAATAATTTGGCAATATAAAGAGAAAGGAAAAAAGAAAGAAAATACTGAAATATTAAGACATACGTTTTTTTTTACATTTAAAAATTGTTCATTTATTTATGTATATTTAAACTATTTTATTTGTATACCCTTTCATTGATAAATAATTGAATTTACTTCTATTGTATTCCCTTTATTTATAATACATGCCTCCAGTCCAAATCTCAGTAGTCAATTCCTGCACACATGAATCCTTCTTTATCAAAACCATCTCGCACGGACAACAGGAAGGAGATGCAACGCTGAGTTTCTCACGCAGTGTGAATGTGGTGGGAGTTTGGGGAAGTTGTACAAGAAACAACCGAAAATACAAGTTTATGGGAACAGAGATACACAAGTCTGATAGCTAACAGTTACTCATATTTGGAAAACCCCCAATCATTAGTGACGAAGGGTAAAGTTCCTTAATTCATCTCGTGCTAACAGATCTGGAATCAGTTTTGTTTTGACCACAACACGCGAATGTGACTGTGTGACTGGGCAGTGTCCTCCAAGAGGAAATTAATACAAATGATGTTTAAATGTTAAATATTACACAAATAGTGAGGGTGTGACTGCACTTAAATACACAAACCAAGAGCTATGACAGAGTTTTAAATATGTAACTTGTGTTTAGTGGCTGTTATGTGCAGAAGGAGTTTTTATTTGACCTCTGCGAGCTGGCTTAGAGGATCCAGGACGTCCTTCTCGATCTGCAGCTCGTGGAGCATCAGCTCTGACGCCAGGCGATTCTCCGCCTCGCCGCACACTTCCATCATCTTCCTGTCAACACACACACACACACACACAGCAGGGTGTTAGAGTCACAACGGCGTCATATTCAGGCCTCGTTAGCATTTTAGCACTGTTGTTAGGAGCGAATGTGACACATTTTGTGATAAATATAACAACACAGAAGGATGAAAATCTGTCCGGTCTCTTCCGCCGCTCCAAATCAATACGTGAAAACTAAACCAGGTTATTGTGAGGATGTCATTTCCATCTGCCTATAGCCTGAGGACGCAGAGTGGCCTACTGACAGGTCTCCCACGGTCATTTATCAGGGGTTTCGGGTCACAGTCATTGCAGGAATCTGACTCCTAAGCCTTGAATTACAAAGAATGTGGCATCATAGTGGACTCACTGCTGTGTGAGTGACGGTTCTGTCCAGGTCTGTGATCAGTTTATGATGAATGAATGACAATAAATGATTATCTTCACAGAGCATTTGGTTATTTTTGACGGTTACGGCTAAAGCAGCTAATCCAGTTAGGAGAGCAATCATTCACTTTAGCCAATCAAACTTGTTTATAGACAGTCCACTAGAGAGACATGACAGAAAGAAATGACCCTGATTCTTTCTGTTTAGACACCATGTCTCACCATATCTCACCATGTCTCACCATGTCTCACCATATCTCACCATGTCTCACCATATCTCACCATGTCTCACCATGTCTCATCATATCTCACCATGTCTCACCATGTCTCACCATATCTCACCATGTCTCACCATATATCACCATATCTCACCATATCTCACCATGTCTCACCATATCTCACCATGTCTCACCATGTCTCACCATGTCTCATCATATCTCACCATGTCTCACCATATCTCACCATGTCTCACCATGTCTCACCATATCTCACCATATCTCACCATATCTCACCATGTCTCACCATGTCTCACCATGTCTCATCATATCTCACCATGTCTCACCATATCTCACCATGTCTCACCATGTCTCATCATATCTCACCATGTCTCACCATGTCTCACCATATCTCACCATATCTCACCATGTCTCACCATATCTCACCATGTCTCACCATGTCTCACCATGTCTCACCATATCTCACCATGTCTCACCATGTCTCACCATATCTCACCATGTCTCACCATATCTCACCATGTCTCACCATATCTCACCATGTCTCACCATATCTCACCATGTCTCACCATGTCTCACCATATCTCACCATATCTCACCATGTCTCACCATGTCTCACCATATCTCACCATGTCTCACCATGTCTCATCATATCTCACCATGTCTCACCATATCTCACCATGTCTCACCATGTCTCATCATATCTCACCATGTCTCACCATATCTCACCATGTCTCACCATGTCTCACCATATCTCACCATGTCTCACCATGTCTCATCATATCTCACCATGTCTCACCATGTCTCACCATGTCTCACCATGTCTCACCATGTCTCACCATGTCTCACCATGTCTCAACATAGTAGCGCGACACACCTAAACCACGTCCGGGTCGACTTGAGTCATATTATTTGCCGTTAATATTAATAAAATAAATTATTAATCCAGGCTCCTTTGTAAGTACTTACAGGTTGACACAAACTTCATTCAAGCCACTATTCAAACTACTGGCAGTGCAGTCACATGTCCTTTTCTTTTACTTTTGAAAAAACACATATATATATATATATATATATATATATATATATATATATATATATATATATATATATATATACAGTAACTGTTGCTCTGAACTATTTTTGTATTTAGAAGATTTGTCTTGTTTCTTTTACTTGACTACTGACATGTAGTTTCACTGTTCTGGGAGTAATTGTATCATTATACATTTATATTTATCTTTATTATATGTATTCCAAACAAGTGGCTTATAGGTTTAATGTATCTACTGTATATGTTAAAAGTATTCTACCTAAAAAAATCACAATGAATATTGTTGTGCTGATATGTACATTTGATAGGCGTATGGGTCATCTATAAGTCACACTTTAAACAATGTGAGGCTTTTGTTGGGAGGACATTTTAGTAACTTGACCTCTTTGCATTTTAACTTGATACCCCTGGTCTACGCTGAAGTCCAGACCAATGCATAAAGTTTACCAGCTGACCATCTGACGCATTTTCTCTTCCTCATTTCTCCCATAGAAATGTATAGATAGCTTTATAGATTTGGATTCACTTTCTAGATCCTCAGCTTCAAACTATTTCTCGGTCACGATGAAACATCTAAATAAGGGAACTAAAGAAAAGTCCCTTTAAGAGAAAACTGGGTGGATTTCTTGCCCTGGGTGCATGGCTTCATATTTCATACTCTCCAGGGTGCATCTGCTCCTTTAGCAACAGTTGCTAAGAGGGAGCAATTGGTTAACCAGCCTGTCACTCATTCCCAAACTCACCCTATCAAGGAGTCCTCTCCCAACTGGTTTCCTCCTTCCACCATGGCCTGGGATAGTGCAGTGAGAGGAAGCTTTTTCTGTGAGAAAGAGGCAATAATTAGACTTGTACAGTACGTAGAACAAAGCATAAGCACTAAAAGAACCCATTTCTATACAGTAGCTTCAGTATTTGATGTTGAAACCAATGGAAATGCATCAAGGACTTTCCATTGAGCAGTAAAGGAAGAGGAAGAGATGTTAAATGGGACTTGAGATGCAAACTAGGGAAGTGAGACATCTATCAAGCGATAACACCGGCGCTCGCTTAACGGCGACATGGTTTACATCTGTGCAAAACATGTTCAACATCCTGTTTTTAAACCAGAGGATCCCAGAGGCTGAAAAGTGTCATGCATAAAGAGCAAAGATGACAGATGTCTGAATGGGAAACGGAGCGAGCGGTGCTGAGAATCAGAGAGGCGGAGGAAGTGATCTGTGTCGTTACCTGACCGTTTCCTGTATAGAGGCGTGGAACGGACTGTGGGGCGTATTTGGTTTGGGGGAAAACAAAAGAGAAATGATGGACTGTACGCCTACTGTGGACACTTCGAATAAAAACATCTTCAAAATTGTGTGCGAGGTAAAAAATGAAATTACACATCCTGGTTCTTTAATAAAAACTAGAGATTTAACAAGTGTTTTATTATAACAAGCCAGACGTCTTACATGTCTCTTTTCTGCCTCTGCTCCGATGTGTCCCTGTAGACACGACACCATCCTCTTGTGTGTGTTGTGCGACACGACTCGCACCAACTCCATCCGCCGTTCAATCTGTGGGCACAAGAAAGGATACGCAAGGATAAATATTAAGCAAATACCTTCTACAAACATGTCAGATTTCATTTTATGCCATCCCAGAGCAAGAAGCAGCAGCATTTGGTTAAAAGTTCAGCAATTTGAACAAGATATGAGATCAAATTGAATAAAAGTCATCAAACAATATTACAGGATTATCATTAAATAACTCCACAAACATATTTGTCCCACTCTTTTTGTAATGTTGTTACCTTTATCAAAGCCTGACTATACTATATTGATTCCTTCTTGTTTTGTAGAGGGGTAATCTGTTGAATATTGCTATGATAATACTTGCGATATATAAAACAGATATTACTCAGGCCTGCCTTTCTGGTGATTTCCCTATACTGCTAAAGATAAAACAAATTGCAAAGATGTGCAGCTCCTCTGTCTTGGAACAGTCTGCAAATTAAATGGAAACTGAACAATCTGGTGCCACTAAATGTTTTTAAAGCTCGGTTGGATGCTAGTCAATCGGAAGCTATTGGTACCTGTTTATGTGGATAATTATGTAAACGATGCTGTATGATGTCCTTTTGTTGTTCTATTTATGTTTTTATGTTTCATGTGGAACTACTTGAGCAGGTCTCCCTTGAAAAAGAGATCAATGATCTCAATGGGATTTATCTGTATAAATAAAGGTTTGAAATGAAATGAAATGAAACTGACCATTAAATCAATTCAAAAGAAATTATTTCCAAAAAAAATGTGTTGAATAAATTGAACACTAACCTGAATGAAAAAGGCCTCAATCAATAGAAGAACAAGTTACATTTCAAAGTGACATTTTTCTACTGATACCCTCTTTCAACTAACGTAAAAAAAGAGTGTAATATCACAGTATTTCTCGTTGTGTTTATCACTGAAGTTCACATTGCGAAAATATATAGTGTGCAGCCAAATAAGAGGTGGAAAATTGCTGTTGACTTTGCCTTAAAGTGCTTTGTGATGCTTTATAAAAAAAGAAGCTTTCTTTACTTGTACAACCCTTCAATCCTGGCCTGAACTACATCCTGACATGTTTGGTTCAATACCAGAACACACAATAACACACACATGGCTAACATGCTTTATGACCACAAACACACTGGGTCCATAAACCATCACAACAGTGTGTGTGCTGTTCTGATGACTGATGAGGCCCAGCTCCACACACACACACACACAACATTTGTAGCTGCCTGGAGGGAGACGTGGGGGTCAAAGTTCACGCATGATGGAAACAGCTCGTCCCTGCAGGAATGTTATCTTTCAAACACATGACTCATCGGAAGTGTCTCTATAGCAACGGGCCCTGGGCTGTGACCGAGAGCGAGGGGGGGGGGGGGCTCTTTAGTTTTTGCTGTTTTTTTTTTTAAAGACCTTTTTGATTACACAGGCTTTCTCCTGTCTGCTGCACTAACAGCTCCACTCTGTGCTTTCAGATTTAAGATATAATACTGCCATTGATGGGAGTCAAAGCTATTCTGGCCTAAAGACAAGAGGCCGACTGACGCTCTGCGGGACGACTATTCTCTGTCCTCGTCATGCCAGGTGCCCGACTGTCAGTGTCAACATTCGGCAGGCTGTCACCGCCCATGAATAGCTGATAGATGATTGCACGCTACTGTTCGAGTCTACTTGAAAGTCTGACGATGCAAAGAACTGGTTTGTGTTGGCAGCGCTTGTGAGATCGGAGCAGGTGTGTCATCGCGTTTTGTGAAACTAAAAAGCACAACAGAAAGTCTCAAATGGAAAAAACACGCTGGCACAAACAATGTTCCAAATATAAAACGGGAACACTGAGGTCTGGAGAGCGAAATGAGCAGAAACGCACAGGGAGGTTCAACCAAATACCAGACAATTGTGTTTCCAAAAACAGAATGCAGTGGGACCTCTGGAATTCCACAGCAGATACCGTTTCCCTTCCCCTCCCCTCCCCTCTCGCGCTCTTACGTCATTCCCGACCCATGCTGGCCCCTGGCATTCCTAAAACAGCTGGGTCAAATATAAACCTGTCAAAAACATACGCATACACACTTTAATAAGCTTGGGAAGAACAGTAGGTACCTGGCACAGAAAAAGCAGGGGATTCCCCTTTTCTGTGATCCAAGAGGAACAAAATTCCCATGTGGGAGAACTGGAAATGTTTTGGTTACAAGGCACCGGGAGTACTCCTTTTCCTTTCATTGTAACCAAATGGACACAAGAAATTAAATAAAGCGGAGGAGTGGGAGAACCTGAGGCCAAGAAGTCCACAGCACCGCAGGCAGCAGGGTGTGATTTTCCTCCGGCTTTGTGATGAGGTTAACGCTTGGTCTATCCCATGATGAGTCACAGAGGGAATCCCAATACTGAGCGGGACAGACAGGGAGTCTGCCTGTGTGCCGGTGTTTGTTTATTGGTTCCTAAGAGAGGATGTTAACATGTCTGGACAAGTATAAAATGAACTAAAAAAAACTACATGACGCATTAAGGGTGGGATGATACAGTGCTCAAAACACAGAATACTCTTTGTTTGCATTCGGGATTTGTGACATCAGTGTTGAAGGGAAAATGTTATTTTTGAACATGGAGCTTATTCAACGTTTTGGTGTAAAAGTGACTATTGCCATTTTTGAAATTGGTCCAGTACTGAGCAGGAGAGCTGCAGCGGCTAAATGAGCTGCAATAACATCATTTGGGGGAATTGCAAAGCATTACTCTGCCTCTCCATAAGTCTGTTTTGCCTGTCTTTTCACCCTCCGTCTTAAACTAGAGCCCGGTCTGCTCTGATTGGCCAGCTTACCTGCTCTGTTATGATTGCTCAACCGCTTAGAGATGTCCCGCCCCTTAACCTATCACGTAAAATGTGTTGGAGCGCTAGCCAATAGAAGCACAAGTGTTACAAAGTGATGTCATTATGTTATTGAAGTAAACAAAGGAGTCCAATGGAGGGAACACAGGGAATTTACCATTTGCAGACCATTTACATGCACAAAAACCTATGTAACACACTAGAGCAGGGGTTCCCAACCCCCGGTCCGCGGACCGGTACCGGGCCTCAAATAGCTGTGAGTTTATCGTAATATTTGCAGAATTATAAATATATAAAAATATTTGATCATAATATTTTTTTCAAAAAGTGTTTAATGTTCGCACCTATACCAGTCATATTATTTCATCCAGTAGCCTAGTTCATCTTTCACCAGATAACCGTTGAAAATGGCTTTTATGATGTTCTGAGGGATTCGGCGGCTCAGCCTCAGCCTCTTGTGCGCAGAGAAAGTTACCGGTGCGCCAAGTAGGAAGAGGAGCGCACAGGAGACAACCGTTTCATTGCAGGCTGTTATGTTTATGTGGGGAAATGGCAGTGCATACATTATTTGAGATATATTTCAAACTCGGACTTCATTTTAAGGACATGTCGGCTAGGGGTGTAGAGCTATGTTTATTTTATTAGCTTTTCTTTTTAATGACTGATTTTAAATGCCATTTTCTTAATGTCTTTCATTTTTTTGTAAAGCACTTTGAATTGCCTTGTGTTGAAAAGTGCTATATAAATAAACTTGCCTTGCCTTTGTTTAAGCACCGGATTGGCAAAACAGGAGAGTAAACCAGTCTGCCTTGATCTATGAATTCATGTCCGGGACTCTCACGGTATCTGCTGCCCGCAGCTGTTATAGAAGGAAAACCTCCTTCACTTCATGAAATGGCTGCAGCATCAGGAGGCAGCGGGACGTGTAACTCCGCTTCTGAGAAGTGCAGCACCAGCGCGCCAAGAGCTGTGCCTTTTTACGCACCGCCTTCGCTGTGTTTACCTTCATAAGAACAGCGAGTGACTGCAGGCTGCTACGTGTTAACCACACACACCTCTACACACATCGAACTGCCCGATTACACCCCCTTTTATTAGTTTTATGAAGGAGATGTCCAGTCACCAAGGCGCATGATGTGTGTGTGTGTGTGCTGTGCTCTGCTCTGTGTTTTGTGTCTGTCCGACACCGGCATTTGTTTTCAAATGACCATGAACAGTAATTTACACACATCTGGCTAACTCCATAGGTAGCCTATATGCGGGTGTTCCCAAATAAATTAGTTTAATCTTAATCTCGAGGAAGGCGAAAGGCGGGCGGATGTGGCACCGCGAAATGACGGCGACGAGCTAGAAGAGCGTCGGAAAACAACACACACCACACACACCGACACACCCACACACACACACACACACAAACACACACGACAGCACACACACACACACACACACACCACACACACAACACACACACACACACACACACACACCACACACACACACACACACACACACACACACACACAACACACACACACACACACACACACACACACACACCACACACACACAAACCACACACACACACCACACACACACACACACACACACACACACACACACACACACACACACACACACCACAACACACACAACACACACACACACACACACGATCACACCATCACACACACACACTACACACACAAACACAGCACACACCTTACACACACAACACGTACACACACCTTACACACACAACACGAACACACACCACACAACACCAACACACACCACACACACACACACCACACACACAAACACACACACACACACACCACACACACACACACACACACACACACACACCTCGTTTTCCCATCACTGGATTCTCCGTAAATCATACAAACAAAACAAAAACAAAAAGTAAATATTAAAATCAGTTAAAATTGACAACCGGTCCGCGATATTTTTGTAATGTATCTGCCGGTCCTTGGCACAATAAAGGTTGGGAACCCCTGCACTAGAGGAAATGGAAAACACCAAAAACCATAAATGGGACTCTTTAATGAATAGAAAATACAGTCCTGACATAGAAACATGGGAAAATAGGGTTCAGATTAAAAAATGCCAACGTTTTCATTTAACAGCAGCTTTCTGCCACCTTATAAAAGGTGACACCCAACTACCAGGGTGTGCAAGCAGGCTCCTTGGTATGTCTGCTGCATTTATTTGGTATCTTTCCCCCCCCCCCTTGTGGATCAGCGGCTATGTCGAGGAGATGAAGGAACGGACAGCTGGCACAAGAATGCTGGGTGGCTCTTTGGCAGCCAGGAAGACCAAATACTAAAGAAGTCTTGAAATACAGGGGCTGACAATCAAATATAAGATAAAAAATGGGATCAAATGGAGGATCAAAGTTGATATCAGATGATGGTAAAGATGCATTCTCACTTTCATTTCAGAACAAGACTTTGCAGAAGAACACGATTTAAAGGAATACGACATGGGGGAAATCCTGGTTTGTTGTCGAGTAAAGTAAAAGAAGAAGTGGGAAAAGAAGGGGGAGTCTGAGCGACACTAAAGACACCAAAGTTAAACTAAAAGTCTAAAATAGCTTGCATATAAAACACTGCACAACTATTCCAGAGTCTGTTTTCCTGACGATAAATAGGGCAAGAAACAAAGCAGCAATCTCAGAATGTACTCCCCTTTTCTCTAACGGACAGCAAGTGAGGAAACAGTGCCGACAACGGCTGATTTCAGACGGAGGCAGAACAATTGTGTCTTTGAGGAACAGAGAAAGTCAATTGTCAGTCATAATGCAACGTCCTCTCTCTGGTGAAAAGCCCCCTGAGCGGTTAGTCATCACTGTCCTCTTGTCTACTTCCATTTCATCCACTCATGACACCTCTAAGTATAACTCTGATGTTCTAGCTGTCACTCAAATACATGCTGTGAACACCTGAGAGAGAGGATGGTGTTAAAAGCTCTGTTTGTTTATGCACAGACTACAATACAGGGTGTGGGGATGAATCACGAGGATAAAAGGGCTTCAGACGTCGTGGCTGTTCTCAGACGAGTTTGTTTTAACATCCATGAAACCCTTCATCTCAAACACAATAGACGATATTCATCCCAGGAATGTCTTTGCTGAGCAGCCAATATTTTTTCCCACCTGCCGTCTCAGAGGCTGGAGATTTCCCCCCCGAGGAAAACCCTGTACCGGCGGCTTTCACACGCAGGCATAAAGCTATATAATACTAATAACGGAGGGTCTATTTGCACCCGGGCGAGAAAAAAAAGTCCCACTGCAGCTATTTGGCCATTTACGACCTACCGAAACTGACTGTATTCAAGGTGGAACGTCACTTTGTACATCTTTGGTGGGATACACGGAGAAAATAAACACAAATAATACTCTTAACAACAACTATGACTTCTCACTGCTTGTGTTATTCAAATGAAATGGTCTAAAAGAACAATTGTTATGTGCTTAGCTAGTTTAGCCAAATTGAATTTAACTTTTAGGGAAACTTTAACAGAGGATACTAGTAATGTTAGACGCAAATGAATTATGATCGGTCTTGCCGTCCGATACACACCCGGGTGTAAATCGCCACATGTATTTACTTGCACTATTTTATCTGTTATATTTGTTCTATGTCCTATATATATGATGCACTGTTGGAGGAGCCTGTGACCTAAGTTTTTCATTGCCATATCTACACTTTAGCTCATGTGCTAATGACAATAAAGCCTTGAAACTTGAAACATTGTCTACGGCAACCAGGGTGCAAATAGCATTGTTAGCTATAGTCACCCGGGTCCAAATAGCATAGTTAGCTATAGTCACCCGGGTCCAAATAGCATTGTTAGCTATAGTCACCCGGGTCCAAATAGCATTGTTAGCTATAGTCACCCGGGTCCAAATAGCATTGTTAGCTATAGTCACCTGGGTCCAAATAGCATTGTTAGCTATAGTCACCTGGGTCCAAATAGCATTGTTAGCTATAGTCACCCGGGTCCAAATAGCATTGTTAGCTATAGTCACCCGGGTCCAAATAGCATTGTTAGCTATAGTCACCCGGGTCCAAATAGCATTGTTAGCTATAGTCACCCGGGTCCAAATAGCATTGTTAGCTATAGTCACCTGGGTCCAAATAGCATTGTTAGCTATAGTCACCCGGGTCCAAATAGCATTGTTAGCTATAGTCACCCGGGTCCAAATAGCATTGTTAGCTATAGTCACCCGGGTCCAAATAGCATTGTTAGCTATAGTCACCCGGGTCCAAATAGCATTGTTAGCTATAGTCACCCGGGTCCAAATAGCATTGTTAGCTATAGTCACCCGGGTCCAAATAGCATTGTTAGCTATAGTCACCCGGGTCCAAATAGCATTGTTAGCTATAGTCATCCGGGTCCAAATAGCATTGTTAGCTATAGTCATCCGGGTCCAAATAACATTGTTAGCTATAGTCACCCGGGTCCAAATAGCATTGTTAGCTATAGTCACCTTGGTCCAAATAGCATTGTTAGCTATAGTCACCCGGGTCCAAATAGCATTGTTAGCTATAGTCACCTGGGTCCAAATAGCATTGTTAGCTATAGCCACCTGGGTCCAAATAGCATTGTTAGCTATAGTCACCCGGGTCCAAATAGCATTGTTAGCTATAGCCACCTGGGTCCAAATAGCATTGTTAGCTATAGTCACCCGGGTCCAAATAGCATTGTTAGCTATAGTCACCTGGGTCCAAATAGCATTGTTAGCTATAGTCACCCGGGTCCAAATAGCATTGTTAGCTATAGTCACCTGGGTCCAAATAGCATTGTTAGCTATAGTCACTCGGGTCCAAATAGCATTGTTAGCTATAGTCATCCGGGTCCAAATAGTATTGTTAGCTATAGTCACCGGGGTTCAAATATTATCCACCAACTAATACATATATCTACAGCTTCACTAACATCTGTGCAGCTAGTTGAGACCTTATTGTTTCTGCAAAAGATGTTATGAACCATGTATCAAAGTCTTAATTTCCACCAAGAGCTTCAACCACTGATTATGATGCTTCAACCACAGAAATGGATCGAATAATTGGTATCAGCTGCTGTTACGTTGGCATGAAAGCTTGCATACTTTGGGGTTTGTCCAACACATGGTCCATCTGCTCTTTAATCTTCAATCAGACTCTTCCTGTCCAAGAAATACTGCCAGGATGTTGCATGTTCTGAAGCATGTAATGCAGGGTTAAAAATTACCTTTTTTTGTCCACAAACAAAAGGCTAGTGAATGTTCAAATTATAGCAGGCACGTAATAGATTACCACCGTTTTTTGACAAGTAAGTGAAGCAAATCTACTAGCCATACATATTAAACCATTATTTCCTTGGTAAATTGTGCTAATTTCTAGCCTCGATGTTTTCAGAAGATCTCAATGTTTTAATGTTTGTCGGCCTCTAAGCTGTCAATGTAGAAGTGAAGCAGAGTTTCCAGGTAAAGAAGAAACTCTTAAAGGTCACCTATTATATTGTTTCTCATCAATATATTATAGGTCTCAGATATATACAAAACATGTCTCTGAAGTGTTTGGCTCCAAACACCAAACAGATCATTGCAGCATTACCCATAATCCCCTCTGTTTCAGCCCTGTTTCAAAAGTGCTGATTCTCTGTCTGTTACTTTAGATGAAAATAAGGAGCCCCTCCCCACGCCCCTCTGAGAGAGATTTGGTTCAAAGGAACACAATGGTGCTCTAGCAGGAGATTCAGGTCATAAGGTGGGGGGGGGGGTTAACTTGGTTGCTGATTGGCTAATGGTTACTCAAGCCAAAAAATCGTTATGACATCACAAAGTGGCCAAAATCTGATCAGCTCATTTTCAGACAGGTTTTTATAGAAATGGATCAGGACGAAAAGAGAGAGAATCTTTGTTCCTGAAGCTTTCAGAGTCTCTTTACACAGAGGGGACACATGTTGATGTAGAAAATACGTGAATAATTGGATTTTGCATAATAGGTGACCTTGAGAACAGAAACCAAAGTGTTGGGAATTTTGTTTTTTTAGCCAGACTGATTTGCTTCAAAAGGGACAAACACAGGACTATGTAACAGCCGCCACTGTCAGACAGATGCAGCCATTCAGAGGATTAATGATTTACCTGCAGGAGGTCATCGCTGAGGACTTCTGTTTTCTCCGCTCTGTGGGTGAGAAAAGACAACAGAGATTAACACTGACAGGCAAACCAGAGCAGATACAGCTGTATTTCAACACACAGAAGAGTCACTGTGAAAATATCTGATAAATGAATGATATCGCTCCTGAAAGACTGGTTTCCTGCTCAGCGTAATCACTCAAATAGTGTCTGGTGTTATTGACCTCGATAAACGTGGGAATGCTTCAATTGGTTTGTTGCCAAAGCTCAACAAGCAACATCATGAAGGCAAAACATGTCTCTTACTCTGCATGTTGCCTCAACAAGTCAGTGTGCAATATACACATGTTTTACTGTTATTACTGGCTGCTACGTCACTATTTGTACATGTTAATTTACTCTCTTATAATGCGTTACTTCTTTTTTACCATGGATGTATTCTTATTTAGTTTTATCATAACTTGCCTCTTTATTCAAATTCTTATTACTTTATTGTTCATTAAATCCACATAACATGGAAATGTGTCTTTGGCAACTGCAAATAAAACGTCACACAGTTTACAAACACGGGCTAAAAGTCACAGACATTAAAGTCACAGTTTATTTATTGCATTTGGCTTTTACTTGCCCTGTCTCTTTGCAGTAGCACTGAAACATATCTCCCCTACAGCACGAGATGAATGAAGGGTGTCTGATTTATGATGAAGCTCAAATGATATCTGATAATAAACACTAACAATGTATAACAAATCACCTCTGGCTCCATAGTTTCTCTTGATAACTGGACTGGACTCCTATTGTATTTTACATTTATATTCAATTTAATATGTAATAATCCCTTCCTTACACAATTTATGTCCATATAATATCCTGCTTTATATATTGTTGCTGTACATTTGTATCATAACATGTATATTTTGTACTTTGTAATCCTATTTTATTTCTATTTGAGATGTTTCCATTTTGGATTGTTTATTTTTTGTCTTTTAATTTCCCTAATATATAATGCCTTGTCTTTTTACGCTGCTGCAACGAAAACATTTCCCAAATTAGGATCAATAAAGTACTTCTTATCTTAATCTTATCTTAAATAATGTGTTGTTCTAAGTCACACAGAAAGCATGTTTCTGCTGTTCAACACGTTTTGGTGTCTTTAAGCCACAGCTAGCAGCTCCTGTGTGCACAGCAGCTCGGCCTGAGCCTATTGATAGTGAACCAATAGCTGGACTTGAGGAGGTCAGACAGATTAGATTCACTTAAAGGGAGAAGGCTGAGAAACACACTGTGAGCTCCTGCTGCTCATCAACACCTTCAAGGGAGGCGTGTGGCGCAGTGGATTAATGCGCTGATCGAATCAGAGGATCACAGGTTCGAGTCCCACTGCAGTCAGCATGTCGTTGTGTCCCTGGGCAAGACACTTCACCCCAAATTGCTCTTGTGGGGATTGCCCACAGTATTGAGTATGTAAGTAACTTGTTAGTCGCTTTTATCCAAAGTAACATGTAATGTAATGTTCAACAGGCCTTCTGTATGCAACAGGAGACTGGAGACAAGGTGGTTTTACTTGCAACTCAGCAGAAAAAGCAAGTAGGGTATCGTTATTGCAATATGAACTAGTCCAATATTCAAATTGCAAGCTTAAAATATTTGGCAATAGGCTAAATATGTGTTAAAATATCATATTAAATGCAGTATTGTGGCTGCAAAGATATCCCACCCAATCAATCTTATTCTACAGACGTAACAAAACACATTTGGCAAATCACACCATAATCATAATACTTTTTTTTAAAGGATTGTATAGAAAAGCAATGTTTTAAAAATAGACTATTCTGATTTGCATTTGCCGGTATTGATATAATATGGATACATTCCTCAGACCATTACTTAAAGTGGACCTATCATGCTATATTTGAAACATATATTGTAGGGCCATACCTATATAAAACATGTCTGTTAAGTTTTTTTTTCAAAATACCAAACAGATCATGCATTTTAGCCTCATGCCTCATTTAGCTCTATTTGCTCTATTCCAGCCCTGTTTTTGCAAGGGCTGATTCTGTGGCAAATGAGCTGCAGCTGACCACGCCCCCCTGCAAAGGAGGGGGGCGAGGCACGAGCGTCATGTTACCATGCTGTTACCATGCTGTTACCATGCCACGCAACCTCTCATTCCCCTGATAGGTGGAGAGTTGCCCATACTGTATATTAGGGCTGTGCATCTTCACTGGTCTCACGATTCGATTACGATTATCCTGTCAACGATTCGATTCAATTCGATATCCCGATGCATCCTGATGCATCCCGATTCATACCAATGCGTTGCATCCTCAATTTTCTATATTACTGCACATGGCTTATTTTTCATCAATATATACATGCAGTAAATACATATGAACTCTCTTTTTATTATTTAGAAAGTGCTTCAGAAATCAATAACATATATGTCTTGACATTAATTTATAAACCAAAATAAATGAATTGTATAGGTCTAGCCTCCCTATATCTGTGTGTGTTCCATCCTCAAAAACAAAAAACTAATGCTTCTGCAGTCTAGCTGCAGCTTCTAGCAACGGCCTTCTGTTAAAGAAAGGACACTGAATGTCCTGAATGTGGCATCACACTCAGGACTTGAGTCTGAACACATCAGACAACAGGAGTATTTACAACAGCATATAACAACTAAAATACTGCATGTGGGTGCACACTTACATTCTCTGTCTTACTGTTGCATAAATCCCATGAATGTATGAGATTAAGTTAGCTTCATTATATCTCAGTGATTAAGTGAATAATAAAGTTTCTATCGGGTCACTATCAGCCTGTCACTCATTATTTTCAGGGAGGGGGCGGGGCTTGGAGGAACGGAGAAGAGACGGTGATCGCGGAAGCTTTTTTCCTCCTGCCTTCACAAACTTTACACACGTATATATCGTCTGAAAATTGCTAGAGGACATTCATACTCTGCAATCCAAGACTTAATTAAATCCACCAAAAACCTGACATGATTGTAACGCGATTATTTTTGAAAAACATAAATCTCTGAGCCGCAGCGACACGGAGTGGTTCAGAGCGGGTCCTTCTGCTGTTGGTTCTGGACTGGTGGTGTTGTGTTGGTGGATAAAGCAGACTGCTCCGTGTTTGGTGTTGCTGTGCCGCTGTCACGTCTGTTCCCTGATCTCTGCGTCACCGACCGATTTGATATTAAAGTGACAGAAAAAAAAAAACGTTATAGTAAAGCCGCGGCCGGAAAATCAGGAAGCAACGTTACTACGCTATAACCGATTATCTTCCGTCACTGCATCGAGACCGAATCGTCCACGTCCGCATCGCAATGCATCGTAGAAACGATTATTTTCAACACCCCTACTGTATATTCTGACGTCAGAACAATTTCAAATCTGTATCAGTCTGGATCAGCTCAGTTGCAGCCCCGTTTTTAGAGATTTGGGTATGGGGGGAAAAGCGAGAGGGTTTGTGTTTTCCGACACTTGGTGAGTTCCCTGACACATATTCATGTATAAAAGACGTACAAAAGTGCATTTTGCATGATAGGTCCCCTTTAATAACTTATAGGTTTTTGTCGCATTTGGTTCCGTTTAATTTAGATTTGTGTTGTTTTTGTTCTATATTTATTGCTACACAGTAAAAGGCAGATTAACCCTAAAGTAACAAATCACTTATGAGCATTTAAAGCAGAAAAATGGTAATGAAATATATGCTGTAAATCTTTTTGCAAGTCTGTTTAGATTCAGCAAAGCAATAGCTAGTTCCTATTTGCTGTAAAAATAATTCATAGTCAAGCAGAAGTTGTGATATCTAACTGATATGATGTGAAAGACATATTTATACTGTGACAACAAAGCTAATGAACCAACATGTAGTAATACGCCTCTATTGCTCTTTATTCCCACCTTCTCTCCGTGCAAGTACAGTTGCATCAAACCAATGTGCAAACGTTTCAGAGTGCAGGTTCAGCCTTCTGACTGAAGTCACATGTATTCAGTGGCTTTCCTACATTTTGGGTAACTGGAGCTTTAAATTACGCCTGGGCCTTCCTCCAAAAGCTGCTCTCTATGAACTATAGTAACCCTGTCACAGCTGCTTTCAATTACAACACAGAGGCAGAGAGCGACTGACAGAGAAGGGATGATAGGTTGGGTTTTTTTTTTAAGGAAAGAAGTATAAATACTGAGATATTTTGAGGGGTAGGGGGTTTAAAGAGTCTTAAAAGTGCCAAAAGCAGAATAATCTAGAGTCTGGGGATGAATGGAAATATTTTCTCTGGAGGAGAGCCATAGTGAGCTGGTGAGTGAGTGGACCCAAAACCCACAGAAACCAGACAAGACTTCCAGCTAGCCGCGGTACAAAATGTGAGGCACACACACATTTGAAATGCTCACACACATGCAGAGCGAGATTATGTCGCCACAATATGGAACCCATGTTCTGGTGTAGTCTACATATCTACTCTTTATGTGGTCCTGTCAAGAGCCTAATCTTAAAAACCAGTTTAATAATCAAGCAGAATTATAAATCCACGCTTATGGATCATACACGCATTGATTATCTGTTAATTGATCTTCCGTCCAGGGAGATCGTGACAGAGAAACGGATGAAAGCATATAGGAAAATACCTGGGATGATGGGGTTGCATTGATTTGCGTTTAACGTGTTTGAAATGACTAATATCAAAACCAGTTATATTATGTAAGCTCAAACTCACAAAATGTTGCTAGACATTAATTAGTGTGCTTTATTTATGCAGGGACGCTTAGAAAATATAAAATTATTACCCTATTGAAGGTTTTTCACACCCTAAAAATGTGGTCTTTATCTTTCTTGATGGAATAAAAATATGTATTTATCAACAAAATGAAAGGTGCCTCTTTGGAAAAATGCTAAGCTAAGCTAACCGACTGTAGCATGTTCAACTGACAGGGACTGATGGGAGAGAGCTTTGTTTTTAAGGAGCTCAGACGTCACGTTGTTGTTTACGCCCGCGACGCCATCTTGTATACGAGCATTAGGTTCCCGCGAAAATGT